TGCCGTAAAGAAAGGCACAGAATCTTGAATAGACGGTTCGAAGGAGGATGGCCTAGAGATAAACTGAAATGCGTACTTATTGATGTCTTGTCACCAGAATGCAGAATGAAATCATAGCATCATATGGCAAGTATTTGGGAACAAAAACAAATCGGAACAGGGTTCGTGAGGAAATTGAGAGCAGATTAATGAAATCTGAAGAATACTGGCTGCCATTTAGTGTAGAATCTTCCGTCTGTTTCTTTAAGCGTAAAGATTTAAATATACAAAACTATTTTTTTCTTAAAAATGTTGGGTTTTTGGACTTCGTCCATCGTCCGGTGTTCTAAGAATTAAGGGGACACGATGTAGTGGGTTATATCGTGTTCTCTAGTTTTTAGACTACAGGACGATGGACGAAGTCCAAAAACCCAGTAATACTGAGTGTAATACACCATCGTCAGAAACCCTTTACTTTCTACTTGTATTTTTTCTTGTTAATTTTTGTGGATATAAATGAAATTATTGGGGATCATCAGTGTGGGTTTCGACGTAACAGATAAACTACAGATCAAATCTTTTGCATTCGTCAGATATTGGAGAAAAAATTGGAGTACAATGAGGCAGTACATCAGCTATTTGTAGACTTCAAGAAAGTCTATGATTCAGTTAGGAGGGAAGTATTTTACAATATTCTGATAGAGTTTGGGATACTCATGAAACTAGTTAGGCTGATTAAAATATGTTTAAACGCAACGTATAGTAAAGTCCATATAGGTAAACATTTGTCTGATAAATTTCCTATCCAGAATGGTCTAAAAGAAGGAGATGCTTTATCGCCACTCCTTTTCAATTTTGCTTTAGAATATGCCATTAGGAAGGTACAGGAAAACCAGGTGGGACTGAAATTAAACGGGACACATCAGTTGTTGGTCTAGGCCGATGCTATGAATCTACAGGGTGATAATATAGATACCATAAAGAAAAACACACAAACTTTAATTTACGCAAGTAAGGAGGTTGGTTTATAAGTAAACACAGAGAAAACTAAGTATACGTTGCTGTCTCGTCACCCAAATGCGGGACAAAATGATGACATAAAGATTGAAAACAGATGTTTTGAAAATGTGGCACCGTTCAGGTATTTGGGAACAACGATAACAAATCAAAACCTGATTCAGGAGGAAATTAAGAGGAGATTGAAATCAGATAATGCTTGCTACCATTCAATCCAGAACCTTTTTCCTTCTCGTCTGCTGTCCAAAAACATAAAAATTAGAATGTACAAAACTATAATTTTGCCTGTGGTTCTGGATGATTGTGAAACTTTTGCCTCTGACATTAAGGGAGGAACATAGACTGAGGGTGTTGAGGAGAATATACGTATTTGGACCGAAGAGAGATGAAGTGACAGGAGGTTGGAGAAAACTGCATAACGAGGAGCTTCATAACTTGTCCTTTTCTCCTAGTATAATTAGAATGATAAAATCAAGGAGGATGAGATGGACAGGTCATGTAGCACGATTGGGGGAGAAGAAGAATATTGGTGGGAAAGCTAGAAGAAAAGAGCCCACTGGGAAGACCAAGGCGTAGGGGAGTGGGAAGATTAAAATATATCTTAGAGGGATGGGATGGTATGGATTGGATTGATCTGGCTCCGGATAGGGACCAGTGGAGGGTTCTTGTGAACACGATAATGAACCTTCGGTTTCCACAAAATGCTGGGAAATTCTTGAGTAGCTGCAGAATTGGCGGCTCCTCAAGAAGGGTTCAGCTCCATGAGTAAGTAATTTTTACGGATAAGAAAGTTGGACTCTCACAGTAAGGGAATATTTGGACCAATGAGAGTGAAAGTGAAAGGGCAGTAGAGAAAGAGTTTGATAATTTGTACCGTTCAATTATTATTATGATGGGCGGATCAGTGAGGATACAGTAGGCCGGGCATGTGGCATACATAAAACAGTTGATATATGCGTGCAAGTTTTTGGCAAGGAAACCTGTAAGAAAGAGACCATTAGGAAGACCTAAGAGTGGGTGGGGGATAATATTAAAACATGCCTTAAATATATTGGATTGGAGGGTTTGGATGCATATGGGTATCGGTGGACTCTACTGAGCATGCTAACGAAGCTACGGGGCTCGTAGGAAGCAGGGCGTTTGCGCGCTAGGCTGGAGAAGGCTCTACTCCGCGAAGCTGTTAGCTTTGTAGTGGCACTGTGGGCGGCTTGTACAAGTGAGGTGCTCATCGGTTGCTAATGTTGCGTGTCTGAGTCACATTGTGTTCAATTCTCACATGTTCCGTGTGTGCGCGCGCGCTCTCGCGTTGCGTGGGCATAACATTGTTCTTAGAACGGGTCTGTGCTGTAAGTCTCGTATTTTAACGATCCGAAGTTCAAAAATTAAGTCAATCTAGTTTTATTTTATCGTATACCTCAGACATCACGATTTAGAAGGTCAATATTGGTATGGCAACTTCAGACACATTAAAAACACGGTTTCTGTTTGGAATGCCCTATCTACAAGTATTTTGAACACCGTCCCCCCATAAAGGTCTAAAATTAAACGTATAAATATAGTAGGGGTTTTCACGGGGGTGAAGAGTCATGTAACACCCTGCAGGAGGAACACGCAGGCCCCGTCGTCAGGGTCTATGTCCCAACCCAGAAGACGTCAGTTTGACTGTTGGGACGCTACATAGTGGGGCCCGTGAAGAGAGCCCTGTGAGGAGTGCGGTATCTGCAGTCTACTGCCGCTAGGTACATCCACTTCTTGCTCCCGTGTCTGATGTCTGGCAAGTGTAGGTCGTTATACAGATGGGCCGGGCATGTAGCACGCATGGTGATCAGAAATGCGTACAGATTTCAGTAGGGAAACCTAAAGGGAAGAGACCTCTCACAAGACCAAGCCGTAGATAGGAGGATAATGTTAATACGGGTCTTAAAGAAATAGGATGAGAGGTCGTGGACAGGGTCTGGTGGCATGCTTTGTGAGCATTGTAATGGTCCTTAATAAAAGTGGCAACTTCACTGAGTGGTTGAGCAACTGTACATCTGTATGGATGTGGCGTGTCCTCTGAACCTCACACGCAAAACACTGATATTACAGTGGACTGGAAGGTCGCCGTATTCTCGTTTGTGACACCTTTGTGGCTTGGTAAGTAAGTGATAACATTGAGATTCTCTCCTGAAGATGGAGGCAGCACGTTCCTCCGAAACGTTGATACCTATCAAGCTACACGACGTTTCATTCTAGAAGACTATGTTGGACCAGGTAGGTAATGAAGGTTAATGATGAAACGCCGTTTTGCCCGATGAAAGTTAACCGACTTTTGGAAGGAACGTGTAGTCTGTAGAGCTTTGCTGCCTGACACTTTCTTGACTTACATCCCTGGAGATGAGGGCGATGTGTTTCTCCGGAACGTCGTTTGACTTTTACCGGACTACACAGCAGTATATCCCAGAAGATAGAACTCTTCATAAGCACCACTGTGAGAACCTCACACCCTGCAGAGCATGACAGCTGTAGTGTGCGCCCCATTTTGTATAATTATACGGGCATAACATGCCTGTTTTATTTTATCTCAAACTTTTGCTATGACCATAAAAAGTAAAAAAAAAAGTAAAGCCATCCCCGTACGAGGCCGTGAAGGCCCTAGGGTTGTGAGACGTTGAGGGTCCCACATTGTTTAGACCAGGCATGTCAAACTCAACTTGTACAGAGGGCCACCTCAGCCCTATAAATAATAGTCCAGGGCCGCACTTCAAAATGGAAATATACATTAGATTTTGCTACAAGGAAATTTAATTCTATTTATTATTTAGGAATAATTTCAATATAATTACCTAAAGTCACATATCTTAGAGTTTTAAAAAGCAAGAGAATGCCATTTTTGACAAGTATCAAATAGCTTTTCAATATGTAAAAAGAGAGATTACACAAGAAATTATGTTAGAAATAGCAAAACATTGAATTTCCTGCAGCCTACTAATTTATGTCTGCGCGAGACTTCTTGTCTTCTGGTCTGTTGGAAAATTGTCTTTACAAAAAACATTTCTACTAAAATTTTCTGGCTATGGGGGCCGCATGTTTGACACGACTGGGCTAGACAGTCGGCTCAGAGATGGTGGTAAGGTTGTCAGCCCCACGCGCCGGCTGCGCTTTACTCCCCAGGAAAATTATTTAATTAATTCCTGGTACTCATTTCTGTTAGAGGCTGAGTCGACCCCAGGGCCATAGTGCGGTTGGAAGGATTAGGTAAATTGAAAAAAATCCAATGACCTCATCGGGACTTGAACCCGCGACCTTCCTGCTATGAACATATGGGCAAATAAATATTTAATGATTTACGCCTGATACGCGCACAGAAACGCATGTAGGTCTTCATGTGAAGTGTCCATTATATGCCGTATTTTTACGAAATTGTTGTGTGTCGACACACTCAAAATGCATGAGAATGTTATGAGCATGTTTCGGGCTGCCACATTGCAGGCAAAAATGCCGTGAAGATGACTTACAATTTTTTTTCTTTTCTGAGTTCTCTTTGCCCAGGAAGGATGTGCCGAATGTTATAATGCGCACATACGTTAAAGGCTGCTATGCTCCAGACGTCTCAACAGCGCAACTTGCTTTCATTTGACGCACGCAAACGACTTGGCCTTTGTTAAATCTGACGTAATTCATCTAGGCACTGATTTCCTACCACGATCGACTTAAGGAAAAGGCTGAGAAGAATAGTGCGTCAGTCGCCTTTTGCCTCGCACCTGCGGTTGGCTAAGATCTCTAGCTGCCATAGACCCAGTTCCCGAGTTACCGTCCCTGCGTTCAAGGCCTTTGCGCCCCACCTTCTACAGCAACGATCCGATAACCTCTGTTAGTTCAGTTTGTTGCCGCGCGGTGGCTGCACTTGGCGGGACCGGAATATAAAATGCTGGTGCATGCACTCGGCGATGCCTATGACCTTTCGGAGTTTGTTGACCTCAGAGATCTGGCCTTGACCGCCCAACTGATGTGTTTGCTTTCAGCGGCGTAGCGACGCTCAGCTGCACTGACTGCTCGACGTCGTCTAGTGGCACTAGCGACATCACAGACCCAGGGTCGCCCTACAGCACCGCGTCCACCCACTCCTCGGCCTCTGAGGGCAGCGACGACTGCTCCCCCCGTAAGAATGTCGCCACCACCGCGACGCTCGCTCTGCCGGCTCCCCCGTACTGCGGGATCGTGACACCTCCAGTGCAAAGCCGTCACTGGGCGACGTCCGCTCCCTCTTGCAAGACGGTCTCCGCTATGGCGCCCAACACACAGGAACCCTGCTGGCCATGGGGCGGAAAGGAGCGCGACAAAGGACCGCCGCCACCGCCACCACCACTTGCCGTCACTGCCACCCCGCTAACATCGGTCACTGCCAATGTCATTGCCAATCTGCCCCTCAAGTCGAAACGTCAAACTGCCATTACAAGCCACAAGACTGCCTCTGCTTCCACTGCAGCAACCAAGAGACTAAAGGTGGAACATCCGAGCAGCAATAATAATAGTGTTAAAGTTACTAGTCATTGTGCCACCAAGAGCAAGTGTTGTAGTGCTGACAATAAGGGTCATGAGGGCGAGGCGCCCCCACCAGCCAAACTGCCACAGCAAGGGAAGATAACGGAGTACTTCAAAGCACAGGTAAAGCCACTCAATGGAGTTAAGAAAGAGCTGGCTGTGAAATCTGGTTCTGGCTTGCAGCAGGTGAGAAAGGAACCCAAGATTTGTGAAACCAGTGCTGGCCTCAACAAGTATTTTCCAAGTTTGCTCTCGGGTACAAAGTCAGTAGGAGCTAAATCACCCACGAGGAATGTATTACTGTCCAAAGGGAGTGACGTTAAAAGAGATGCCATTTCTGGTGGAGGCACTTCTCCATCATGGGTGATATCTTCTGTTGATGGCAAGCCTTCGAAGGTGTTGCAGAAGGTTGCAGCAGATAAAAAGACTGGACCAGTGGTGGCAGTAGCTTCAGCACGAAAGGTTTCTTCATCTGCTGTCTCAAAGTTCCTGGAGGTAAAGCGGAATGGTCTCAATATTCCGACATCATCTCAGAAGTTGAATGCACTGCTGTCGCCATATACCACCCAAAAATCACCATCCTTCTCCACCTTTGCGGAAAGTGCCCAAAAACCTGGGTTGACAACCTCTGCAGGTGGCACCCCTAAAGTTGTTTCATCTGAAACAGTGTTTAAGAGTGGGAAGGAAGCCATTCCAAAACCAAAGACTATCGTGTCTGAGACAGAATGCGTGGCTTCCCCACTGTGTGATGAGCCTACTCCAATCCTGTCAGTGCCAACCACCATCAGGTTCCCTGCCATTGCTAGTGACAGCAGCAGCAGTAGTAGCAGTGTGGTACCTCCTAAACCTAGCAGCTCACAGGTGGAATCACCTGACACCATTGTCTGCCGCTGGTCAGAGTGTCAGACGCACTTCGACTCCAGCACCGGTCTGTTGGAGCACCTGCAGGTAAGTCTCATGCATTAATAGGGCTTAAAAGCTCACATGAATTGATATGTGTCATAGTAGAAGTGAATAATCTGGTTATTATGAATAATACCTGGCAGTTATACAAAATTTCCAGGCTGGTTATTATCCAAGATTACCAGTTACTTACTAATACCAAAACTAATTCAGCATTAGTCTGCTGAAATGCTAATACATTGTCAACATATTGAATCACTTGCAAGTGAAGTTTATAGAGCTGTACAGTAATGCACTAAGTCTGCGGAAACAGCTATGGATGAGGTTCCTGACATCTGTTTTCTTCCTTCAGGCCTTGTTTCTGGTGGGCTGATATTATGCCCACCATTTGGAATTAATAGTGTCATCAACATTCTAAGTGTTGAGTGGGGTAGGGTAAATGGGAACCGATATGATTAGATCCACATTCACACCGTTGTTCATTGTGGTAGCAAATTGTAACTCATCAAGTACCATACATGTTACAGGCAAAGCACGTGAACCCGCAGGTGTCGTGTGAGAATTATGTGTGCCTATGGGTGGGCTGCAAGGTGTATGCCCGTACATCGTGTTCCCGTTCATGGCTGGAGAGACATGTACTGAGTCACGGTGGGAACAAGCCATTTCGTTGCATTGTGGATGGATGTGGTCAGCGGTTCAGCTCCCAGGTATGTGCTCTTTCTGCATTTCAGAAACAGATTAACTCATGCTAAAGACTTCAAGAAAAGGGGAAAGAATTTTTAAAATATTAGAGACACAACTATCCACAATGGACTTCCCATACTCGTGTCCAAGATAATCTCTCTTCTCAGTAATTTGTTCTCAGTCACCCTCAGTGTATGTTCATCATTGTTTAGATGCCAAGTCCCACCCATACAGAGTCACAGTAAATGCTATTTTTTGCTCAATCTCAAAGAACGGTTGCAAGAATACATCTGTTATCTTTGCAAAATCTGTCCATCTGCACACATGTAAAACCTGAGAACTGTTAAATGGACTTTAATTGGAGAGTTTCGGTAGTAATGTTCATTGCCTTCCATTTTTAATTAAAAGGAATCAGGGTTCAATTCCCAGCTTGGTTGAAAGATTATCTCATCTTCATAGGACCCAGACTGGTTCTGTGACCCATCCAGCATCTCCTATCCATTGGAACAAGAGGCTGTTTCCTTGGGGGTAGAGTGGTTGGGGCATGAAGGTGACCACTCACCTCCATTGAATTCTGAAATTAAGAGACAACATGCTAAATTTCACTTCTTCTATATGCCTTTATGTTATGGTGCTTAATGAAGCACAGGGTTAACTTTCCTTTTGTATAATAACTGATGCTTCGCATGAGACCTACACGTATATGTCTGTGCCCATCTTGAGCATAAGTTGTTGAATATGTAATGGAAGGAAATGTTTCTTTAAAAAAAAGTATGTGAACAAACTTTCTATGAGCACATATTTCTGAACTTGTTGATCTCAACATATGAATGACTGGGTACATTTTTGACAAAATAACTTGTTACACAAGATATTGTAACTTTTAAACTAAACCTTGTGCTTCATTGGTTGAAGAGCAGAATCAGCCTTTTTTTGGCAGTCCAATGTGAGTATTGTGCAGATTTTTTGTCGCGGTTATTGTCACTTACAACAGATTCACGGTCAGAAGCAGCTCTGCATCATCAATGACAATAAGTAGCACCTATGATCAGAACTTGTTACATACATTTGTCAGCTATATTGTGCTGAGCAAGTGGGCTAAAGTCATAACACAGGGCGCCTATTCAGAGTCTAGGCTGAGACGTTGAGGTATTCATGGTTTTTGTAGTTCCTCCAGACAGATACCAAGATAGTATCTTAAATTAGGTTGTGGCCACTTCCTTCTGCATCCTTTCCAATTAATTGTTCACTATCATCAGTAATTTGGTGCTGTACAGTCTTAGTAACTGAGAGTGCCATTAAATAAACGGTAAATAAGCAAGTAACAATTGACATTACATACACTGAGCACTTAGTGCAAGCCATCATCAGCATCATGGTTTGCTTTGGTATTATGTTAATATTACATTACATTGCATTGCATTCCATGGATCCAAAGTTAGTCAAAATGACTGTAGGATATGGAATATGTCATATAAATACAAAACATATGTACAGACCCAATGGAGTTCTCACACAAGAGAAACCAAGAACACACAGTGACTACACACAAGGAAGGCTCTTCTTACGTGCCGTCTAGGTAGGACATCCTGACACTGCAAAGATCCCGTAGTGTTGCAAGTTATGTACACCAGCAGAATAGAGGTAAACATATTGTTACGTCTTGGGTATATAACGCGACAAATAATTTCACACCTTATTTGGTATAGCGAATTTATTCCACTCGCTCTTACAATCACACAATTTACAATCTCACAATTACTGCCTTTGGCAGTATCACAAATACTTCGACAAAAGATAGACATTGCTTTGGGGTGTATTCATACACAGTCTAATGGGGTTAAATTCAGTACTTCTAGATGAGCAGCATTATTATTAGTAGCAATAGAAGTAATGGGTTTAAATGTTCTTCAGCAGCGGGAGTAACTGGGTTGTGACTTTGTTTTGCAGCAGTTGTTGAACCATTCATTGTAATGCACATGTATCTTTTTTTTCTGTCTACAAACAATTTTCAGACAACAGCTAATTGCTAATTCATTAGTGAGGAACTTTCTATATCATTTCTTGACATCAGCACTGCCTGCCTGCTAGAACCGAAGTGACATGGCTGTCACTCATTGTGATGTATCTGTGCACTTCCCTACCCACCAGTCTCAAGAGTTTATTGAGCAATGCTACCAGTAGTGCTGATGAACAGTCCAACCCTCTAACGTGGAACTTCACCATACACAGATGCACAGAAGTGTGTTTCTTTTATTACTCGGAAGAATCTTTAACATTTAGGTATTTTTAATGTTGCTTTTGGGCACTGATTGTTTCTTGTGAAACAAGTAATGCAGTAATGGAGATAATTTCTGATAATAATTCAGTCTGATGAACTCTAAGAACTTTGGACATTACTTCTGCGACAGTCCGGTATGTTGTGATGTGTGCAAACTGATGGCTTCATGTTACAGACAACGTTGGAACGCCATGTGAACAGCCACTTCAGCCAAAGTGAGGCTGGTAATGGGAACACTGGAGCACGTCGTAGCTTGGAGAGTGCCTCCAGTAAGCTGTTCCGTCGGAATGGGAAGAAGCTGCGGTACCGCCGGCAACCATGGTCAGGTAGGGCTGTCTGTTCTGGTTCACACCATCAGCTACTTTCATGAAGCCATAAGGGGGGTTGAATGGTGGTGCAGTGACAGAGTGGAAGAGGCCATTCAGTTTATATGTAGCATTTTGACACCTCTGTGTAGCTAGCAGTATCACTTTGGATATGTGTTTGGGAGCTTTGAATTTAAATCTCAGAATGACACTGACTGTCATGAGGTTTGCGTAGTTTGCATCACTCTCTTCCAGCTAATTCTGTGATGGCGCCTTCAATTTGGCCACATCACTTCCTGCCACATTCTGTCCAGTTTGTTGTTCACCAGTCACCATGCCATTCAGTGCTATATCATATCACCTGAGCTACTGATGGTGTCGTTACAAAGATAGGGACATTCTTTCATAGCAGCATATTGGTTGCATTCTGTTGGTTTGTTTAGGCATACTGATGCAGCATCTCCAAGATGCCAGGAGTTTGATGCATCTTCTCTTTTATCTTGAACCTGAATATCCACAGATATTTTGTTTCTGGAGCAACTTCTCTGCATGGTTTTGTAGAACCTTAATTCGTTAGTTTCACATCAAGTTTCACTTGGCACGTGTTAGTTTCACCATGTGTACACACATGACAGTGAGAAAACTACTGAATGGTTTTTTGTGGAATAAGATATTTGGAGGTTTTATTAAAATGTTTCACCATGTTACAGTTGTTATTAAAATCAGATGATAGTAACGGACACATTTCATGAAGACCAACATGAGTTGCTGCATGCACCTTGGCTGTAATTTGCTAAATATTAATTGGAGCTAAAAGTTGTTCAAATAAAAGTCATAGAGAAAAAGGAAATATGTTTTATGTCCAGTACTCAGTCAAAGAGTTTTTGGCTCAAGCATTGAGGTTAGAGTCCTTCGAAGGGCCCTGCCAAGATCAGGGCTGCCCAATGGACCCAGCAGCAGTCTGGGTGTGTGGGGTTACTAACCCCCACCCACAAAGTTAGTGCTACTCGTAATACTGATGTGCATTACACTTTCTCCACAGTATGTCACATTATCTAGATAATTAAAAGGGGATTGAGTGTATCCAAATTATTATGCTATGCATACATTTCCTAACTTGTCATAACTATGTTGATGGGCTGGTAAATGTTGCTGGTATGAACAGTTGATTCTTTGGTTATTTAACACTGATTTGCTGTTGCATAGATCATATAGCATTGAATGATATAGTGACTGTGAATGATGAACTTGGAAGGGTCATGGAAGGAAAGGTAAAGCTATCCCTGTAACGGGTTGTGGAGGCCCATAGGGTTGTGAGACTTCAACACTCCCACATTTTCTGGACAGTTGGCTCACAGATGGTGGTGAGGTTGTCAGCCTTATGTGCAAGCCACCCATTACCCCCCAGGGCTGTAGTGTGGCTGGAAGGATTAGGTCGACTGAAAAGTCCAGTGATGTCATCCATCATAAATCGAACCCATGGCTTTCTGGCTTGTAGCATGGCGCCTTGACCAACTACGCTACTGCATGTTCCCTTGTGGAAGGAAAGTAATGGCATTTATGAAGGTCCTATGCTGGAGGCACTGAGGAAGACCATGAAAAACCCATTGATGAGAGCCAGTTTCCTGGTTGAGATCCACGCTTTGGAACAGGAGTGCTATGATATGCCTTTACTCCCACTTGTTCCAAAACAGCTCATGGAACAGCATAGATGTAACCATTCGGACATCTGTAACTGTCTTCTGAACTGGTATCATGACACCTTTATGAATCACAGTTGTCATTGGTGATATAACGTTGATCCATCACCATGAACCAGAGAGTGAGCATTGGAGTGTGGAATGTAAACAGTTTGTCTTCCCTGTCAAGAAAAAGTTCAGAGCTCTACCAACGCTCACACTGTTCTTAATTCCCAGAGACCAGTCTTTGGGCACTCTTGGGAAAGAAGTGTGATGTTGAGCGGTGCATGCTACGTTGAGATGCTGCATGATGGGCTGAAGATGACAAGGAGGACAGTGTCCCCCATAATGTGCCCACACTATTGAAAGCACTCCAGCAGTTATTCTTTGAGATACTGGAAAACACATCATGCAGCCCTCACCTCACTTTGTCAGATTTTCAATTGTTGGACCCCTTAGGTAGTCATTTTGCCAGTGACTGAGTTGGTCATACACAACTTGCTGCTCAGTCAGAACTTTTTTTTCCTAATGAAATACATAAGCTTTTGAAGCACTGGACCAAGTGTATTGAAAAGCTCTGGGACTGGGTTGAAAAATGATGAACTTTAATGGACAGATAATGAGGTAGTTTTAGGGAGGTAATTATTAATAATTCTGTATTAGAAATAACAAACGCAAAACTGAAGCCTTCCATCTGCCATAAAAGAGACAGGGCATTGCAGCAGAAAATTGAGTGGTACCCTATGTCGGCCACAGAAGCTGTGCACACCTAAACAGTTACGTGACTTTCAGTTGGACAGTGAAGCCTTGACATTACACTTCAATGTGATTTCTGTTTAGGTTGGCTCAACTTTACGCCAGGATGAAGATTGTTGTGTGTTTGGCCATATTGCAGTTGAAGCTGGTTACAAGGTTATTGAGTCTTAAGTTAATAGTGATGTTGATTCCAGATTGGGTGACAAGGGGTTGGGTTCTGGTAATCATAAATGTCTGAAAATTAAAAACGTAGTGTATTTTCTGAAAAACCCCACACCCATAAATAAACTGCACACCTCATTTCTTATTAAATAAAAATAATTAAAAGATCAGCCTACATCTTGCTGGATGCTTACTTGGCTCAACTCTTTAACCCTGAAGATGGAGGCACTAAGTTCCTGTACAATGTGGCATACTTCTACCAGTATTCTTCATGGTTACAGCCATGGGAACCTCTAATTCAACAAAAATATAAAAAGTTTATATGAATAGAAGTGTTAAAAAGTATACATGTCAAGCGTAAGTGCACGTAATACACAGTGCCTTGAAATTTGAACAAAATCATAATTTATTTCAGCTGCGGCCTCATATTTTGCAGGAGCTGACATCCTGGAACATGAAATGGCACCCCTTTATGTCAAATCTACATACTGTCCTGCTGTTCAGAGGTCTTATTACCACCACTTTGAAGCATCACCTCTTTCTTCTTTCTTCAGTCTGTATAGGTTTCACTGATGTACCAGCAGCATGATTCCCATTTTCTTCTGCCTTTGAATTATTTTTGTAACCATGAAAGATCATAAATGCATTCCTCTAAGTACTCATATTTAGCAGGACACATCTACACTGCAGTTGTGTGTGGCTGGGTATGCAGGAACAAGTTGATGAATGTTAAGATGAGCTTTGGCACAAGCACTGTTGTCACCTTGACACAGGTAAACCATGTGCCTCTGATTTCAGACACATCTGTTTCAAAAAAATGTAGTGTTGAAGTTATTTGAGGAAATATGGTAATACTGTGACATGAAGCAATATTACCATATCTATTTTAAGGCCTTGATTGTGCTGAGTGAAAGGAAATGCACATGTATGTAGTTGCAGTTAAGGGGGGAATGTGCAGTAGAAGTGGATACCCCAAGACCTTGTAATCATCTTCAAACAAAATTCAGTTCAGTGTCAATTCATCTTCAAGAATGGAAACAGAAATCAACCAGACCCCCCGACATCAGACTTCCAGATCTTCCAGTATTAATAAATTACAAAATTAGAAATTGTACAACTTCCATAACTTTCAATTAAATTATTGAAATTTGGATGGCAACAAGACAGCATACAGCACATCGAAGAAATATTATTTTATGTTATTTTAAGAAGCAGATGACGGCACTTGTACGTATTGAATGTAATGTGCTTTATTGAACTTAGAAAACATATTGTAAGTGCCCATTATCGGTAATGAACTTTAGGAAGGGAATGGTGTTAGGTTTGTTCATATTACCAGAATTTACAATACCATGTAGCCTGTCTAATGTGAAACTTACTTCCTGTTTCAGCGCGCATGTTCGACTATTTTGATGCAGGGATCATGGAAGGACTGCAGCATCGCCTGGTGAACATGACCGAAGTGCAGACGCAAGGCAGTGTCGCAGCTGCAGCTGGCAACACTGTTTCCCTTCACAGTAAGGTATGATTCTTGGTGAGGCAGTGCTCATTTCCATATGTGTCATGATATTTCAACGTTCTAACTTACAGTTGTTGGGTTGCTGGCACATAAAGATCTTTCTGGTTGTCACTCAGTTCTCATTCCAAACATTTTTTTAGAGCAAATATTCATTCTGCACTCTTTCTGCATTATGAGGACACTCAGTAATTTTTAGGAATTGACTCACCTTACAATAGCTTACCGCACATAAGTTACATTTCTCCATCTCTGATAGCATGAAGGACTGATAAAGTGGATTCCAGCAATAATGCTTCTTCTGACTTGTATTTTGGAAGTGCCTGGTTTGAATCTCAGATGCAAAAGTTCACCTATCCTGATTGTGGTTTTTTGTAGTTTTCTTCCATCCCTTCTGGCAAATCCCAGTAAAGGACTTCAGATCACTAGCATTTCAGACCATTTGTTTCATTAATTGCCAGTCATTCCACTACTCAACATATAATCGGAGCTGCTGACATCATCAGACAATAAATAAATAATTAACCTGTTTGCATAACTGTGAAAAATTCTTGTTTTGCGATCAAGAGGGACTCTTCAACGTAAGCAATAAAATTGTGTACTTATCACTGGTGACCAGATACTAAAATAACTTAATATTTGGTGTTCGGCACCCTTTGTCATCGGGATTGGTACTGATCTTCACTGCTGTGGGATCAGGATTTGGACAGGAATTTTCAGAATTTGTACTGCATTTAACTGCTGCAGGAACAGGATTTGCACAGAAATTGTTCAGGGTTTTTGTTGCCTTTCATTGCCATGGGATCCAAATTATACAGAAATTGTTCAGGATTGACTGCTGATTTGCTGCTGTAGCATCAAAATAAAGAGAGTATGCATCTGTATGAAATGGAAGAAAATATTGTAGTTATATTCTGATAATTTTTTACATGGAGATGGTGGTGTTGACAATATACTTGTTTATACAGGGTGTTCTGTGATGTATTGGTGAAACTTCAGAAGTGTATTCTACAGGTAATTTGGAGCAAAAAGTGTCCAGTAAATTATAGGTCAATTTGACACCTTCGTTAGGTTAGGTGCTAGTGAAGTGAACTTAAGTGCTGTAACTTTAACCGAGCTCCTGCTTGTACACCGTGTGGGCCAGTGTGGCTGTAGTCAAAATGCCTAACATGTTTACAAATGAAAATGCCCATGTGCATTTAGTATACAGTTCTTGCAATGGAAATGGTAGGGATGCTGAATTCCACATGGCAGAACATTTGAGAACATAAACAGAAATTTGAGGGAGATTGGTTCCTTCCCACAAGTGACTGCAGAACATGAACAGCGACACATCGTGGAGATGATGTTCTGGCAGCAGTGCAGTGAAGCTCAAATATAGAAGTATATACAGAATTTCAAGGATAACTGACGTATCACAGACAAAGATATGGAGAATTTTTCACTGTGATATTTTCTATCTGTATCACTTTCAGAGAGTACAACGCCTCTTACCAGGAGATCACACAAACTGTGTATGATTTTGCCACGGTTGAGAATCTACATGAGGTAGCAGAAAGTCATTTTCAACACAGATTTTCAGTTAGCATGTGGCGTAGAGTATCAGGCAAATAACCTGATTGGACCACATATCATGAACAGTTGACATTTTCGTAATAGAGGAATTTTTTGGAAAATGAATTACTGCTGCATTTAGAGGACATGTCTCTTGCAGCACAAAGACAGATGTGGCTATAACATGACAGAGCACCTCCGTATTTTGGTATTGGTTAGTAGAGGCCATGGATTAAGCTGCCCTTGGTACTAGGAACAAATTGGGACGCATTCAGTGGCGAATGATCAGCAGCATGCATGCAGTCTTAATGCTGGACATTTTGAACATGTTGCATAATAACCTTGAAACTTTATTTTTCTGATCATTTAAAATGATAGTACAGGTGAGTTGAAAAGATATTTTGTATTCACTGATGCCCTAAACTAACGCTTAACTCAGTAATGGTGTCAAATTTGTTAGCCTTTCTTTTTCTTCTTCTTTTGCTCCATATTACATGTAGACCACACTCCTGCAGTTTAGCTGGTACGTCACGGAACAGTGCATATAGTGTCACAGTCATGGTCATGACAAGACAGCTGATGTCACTTTAATGTCCTAAAAGCATGTTAGTAGTCCCAGGCATGGAATTGCATACAGTTTTAATGCTTTCATGCCATAAATGAGCTTGGTCGTTAAAAGGTTCCATGCCCACAGGTTTGGTCTGTTAATCAATTCTTCTACCTGAAAGCCCTTTGGGAAGTACAGTAAACCCTCACTAATCTCGAGTAATTGGGGAGGGGGTATCCTTAAAAGAGAGGAAAAAACTTAGAACACAAATAAATGAAAAATTGAATGATATGAGTCATGCTGCTGAAAACAAATAAAAGATATCACTGTAGAGCCTTTATTTAAAAACTATAAAAAGGCAGCACATATATTCATTGATAGAAGACTCAGAAGTTGTATTTGCTTTTGAATGTAATAATGTGGGTTTGAAGGAACTGTCAAGTTTTGTCTGAACAGACAAGTAACTCTTCTGCCTTTCTACATGCCATGTGTCTTAAATTATGTACTCAACTGTGAATAGCATTTTTCATATCTTGACCTGGATTAACTGTAACCAGATTAGTGAGGGCTTACTGTAGTTTCTTCCTGTGCCACTAGGTGATGGATGTAGCATGGGCGCAGGTGGCTTTATATTTTTGTGAAGTACTACCAACTGGTAGCATAATGCATAAGATGGCAGGCTTGTAGGAAGGCAGTGCCCAAGGAAGGACACTGTCTGTAATCAACAGTTTGCAAATAGCAATACTTAATGGATAATAACATTCAGTACTGCTGTACTAATGGGTGATCCTAGTAACTTTAAAGTGTTACTGCCACATAGGTCATCATGTTAGCTCTGCCAGCTGTAGAGGTTTCTTTTTACAATCAGAAAGCAAAGGCCTAGCCTTCTGGAGTTAATGTTGGAGGCACATTCTAAAGTTAGGCTTTTGATCTTGTTTTTATAAACTCTTAAGATTGTCTAAAATACTGGACAGTGTGGCATTAACTTCTGAAGTTGCATGGGACACTCACTGATACACAAGTACCTAAAATCATGTTTCTGGCTCTATCTATAAATTAACGTCTGTTTGGATAGTTTCATGGGGCTGAGGTGAGACTGAGTTCACATGGTACATCAGCTACTATTTGGCCTATTGTGCAAGTTCTGGATGATACGTGATGGTGAATGTGGAGCAATTGGTAGAATAATTGGCAGGGGAAACTGAAGTACTCAGAGAAACCTGCTCCAGTTCCGCTTTGTCTGCCACAAATCCCACATGATCTGACCTGGGCTCAAACCTGGGCTGCTGAGATGGGATGCCAGTGACTAACTTCCTGAGCTATGGCATGGCCCTTTGTGTGGTCTTACATATGTGACATCACTCTGCAGGAATTTTGCCTGCATAGTAACAATTTTTGGCAGAGAGAAAATATGAAGATTGATTGTTGATTTGGTGACAGTTCAGGTATTAGTTGTGTAAGATCAGAAATTTCTTACAATAACTTAATGTTTAGTAAGTTGAAATTCACTAAGTTCAGGAAAATAATATGGGACACTATTTATATGTTGCTTAAGCTGGGACGAGAAATAAAATTCACTAGACTGGGATTTCAATGTATTGTGAGAGCTAGCCCATGGACTGGGAGCTGGAAGCCCCAGTATCATGGGATAAGTACGAGTTTCAGCATATTTGAGGATG